TATCGATCGCCTGACTCGTAGACGACGAGCGAGGGCTTATGGACAGTGCGTCGTCCTGAAGATCGAGCAAGGAAGTCGAGAATGACCACTACCCCAAGCGAGGAGGAGCAGAGACTTGAATGAATAACCAGGTCGAACTTAGGGTTTGACCAACTAATGGTACAGCTATTTATACAAGTACCGGCTACGCACGGACCATTGTATCTGTGTGGTCGTGTTTAGTAAAGAAAGAAACGTAGTGGTACGATACCGGGTATGAAGTGCACATGGACCCCATTATGTAAGCTACATAATGTTCAACCTGCGGGTGAGTGCTAAGACAGGCGCCAGTATGGGCGCTAGTAGTACAAGGAATAGAACGGAAAGACAAATGTTTCATTACCCCCCTGCCAGAGTCGAAGTCCCATTCGACTACTTACTGCTCACCATCTCCATATAACTCCCAATCTACGCCGTCATCCTCCTCTTCGTCGAACCACTCCTTGCGCGCGTTCCTCCCCACGTTCTTCCATTCCTCGCCAGAGAGGTGCTCCTGACGCGGCCAGGAGCTGTCCCACGTCCATTGAGTGGTGTCGGGTGTCCAGTCGGGGTCGACTTTGCGAAAGATGACGGGTGTATCGGGGCGGGGGCGCAAGGGTCCCGCGACGGGACTGGCCAGGGGTTCGGGGTTAGCGCTGCGTGGTGGAGGGATAGGTACCACTTTCGTCTGTCTTTCTTTCTCCTTCCTCTCCTTCGCCTCGTTGATGATTCCCTCGAGGAACACGTTGTTGATGACCACCCCCACGCGTCGCGCAGGTTCTTCAGGTGGTGCAGATACGTGTCGCTTCATCGGCCTGGTTCCACACTCTCGCTCCAGGTGTCCAGGGGCTTCTTTTCCGCATCCTACGCATTGTACATCCAGACAGTCCCGTACCCAGTGTTGAGACAATCTGCATTGCCTGCAGCTTCCCTTCGGGGTCCAACCAGGGTTGGGTTGCCAGTCTGCCGGGATGGTAGTGCTCCGCGGTGTTGCTTGGAGGAAAGGGGATGGGATCGGGGGGTGTTTGAAGGCAGACGTCGGTAGGTGTGCGGGTAGGGGTAAGTACACGTTGGGGATGGCGCGCGGGATGAATTTGTTGTGTCGCGCCTGGATGCTGCGCAGTAGAAGCGGTTGAAAGCGATGGGCAACTTTCAGATTGTCGAGCCGGATGAGCTCGGTGAGGACGCGGTTGTCCTGTTGGCGTAGGAGCCGCTTGTGGTGGTCGATGGCCTCGTCGGCTGCCTTGACAGCCTCATCATATTCGCGGCGGGCGGAGAGATATGCCTCTAGTGCAGCGCGGTCAGTGGCATTGGTTGCCTTGGAGTTGTGGGCTTTGAGCTTGTTGAAAACGTTGGTGGGATTACTGAGAAGGAGCGTCAGCAAGGTGTTGTCACCGACGTGGGTGTGCTTAGGGGTGTAGATTGAGGTCCTTTTCCCGCCTTCGGTCGAAGGGGCATTGAACTGGTCGAGGAACGGGAGGGTGGAAGACATGTTGGTGCGAGTGGGGATGTAGCGACTGGGTAGAGCTGCTATCAATTCAGCTCAAGTCCTTCCTGTTCTTATACTCTGCCAATACTTCGTCTGCCATCCCAGTCAGGTTCGCTTCGGGCTCCCATGAGTCATCGGCTGTTGAGTAACCCTTCCACCTGACGCGATACTCCCGGCGTTGCATCCTCTTGTTCTCTCGGTGTCCGATGATGGCTTCGACTTCGTAGTTATCTTCGCCCTCGATAAGGTCAGGAGGTGGCCTTGTGTAGTTCGGACCATGGATCTCCGTCTCTGAGTAGGGAGATAGAAGCCATTTGTGGAAAACGGGGTGAACTCGCCAGGTGCTAGGGAGGTCTAGCTTGTACGCGACCGTTCCGATCTTGTCTAGGACTTTGAATGGCCCTTCTCGCCTCAGGGCTAGTTTCCTGGATGGGTACGGCAGCTTCAAGTTCCGGGAGTCTAGCCATACCAGCTGACCTTTACGGAAGGAACCCCCCTTCCTTTTTACTCTCTTGGCCAAGATGTTCTGGGCCATCTCCATTGCCGCATGTGCTTCCTCGTGGATGTTTTGCAAGCCCTTGAGGCGATAAGCCGCTTGCGGCGTGTTTGATCCAGGGTGCGCAGTGGGTATTCCACGAGGTTCGTATCCCATCATGAGTTTGAATGGGGACGTCTTCGTCGTGGAATGCTCACGGGAGTTGTGAGCAAATTGCGCGGTGTGAAGATGGTCAGCCCACTTATCCGGATCATTGGCAGTGAAGCAGCGGAGGTAGATCTCCAGCTCTTGGTTTACTCGTTCTGTCTCGCCATCGGTTTGCGGATGGAATCCGTACTCATGGCTGATTGAACCCCAGTCATTTTGCAAAGTTCTTGGAAGACTTTGGACGCAAATTGCGGTCCTCGGTCACTGATGATCTTGTCTGGGAGTCCAAACCACTTGTAGACCTCTTGGTACATTGCGTCTGCCGTTCCAAGAGCATCAATTGTTTTGTTGCATGGGATGAAAATTACCCCCTTCGTAAGGTCATGGTCCACTACGACCAGAATTGAATCGAAGCCGTTGGACGGTGGCAAGTCGGTGATGTAATCGCACGAGAATGTGCTGAAGGGTTTGGCATTTGCACGGGGTCAAATGGGGGTGATGGGCGGTCGGGCTGGATGCGTGTTAACCTTCATTTGCTGGCAGATGCCACAGCCGTTAACATAGCGGGCAACAAACTGGGCCATGCTCGGCCACCAGTAGTCACGGCGCAAGCCGAGGAGGGTTTTCTGAACACCGGGGTGTCCTGCGGAGGGGAGGTCGTGATAGTGGGAGATGAGACGTTTGTGAAGAGACTCATCTGGGGGTACATAGACCCGATCCTGGTATAAGAGGAGGTCATCATCGATGGACCAGTCCGTTCCAGTGCGTGGTGTTCCTCCAGTGCGCGCCACAGTGAGGCCTTCCTTCATTATTGGGTCATCCTTAAAAGAAAGGATGGTGTCGCAGGTGTCGATGTTGATGGCAGCAACCCATACTTCCGGTGGGAGCATAACGACGTCGGTGTTGTCATTAGAGCCATCGTCATGGTCGGGTCGGCGGGAGAGAGTGTCGCTCTGCACCATTTGAGTACCAGGAATGTGTACCAGGCAGAAGTCAAACTTGGTCAGTTTACTCGCCCAGCGTGCTTGTTGTTGGTTCATGTCTTTGGCTTGTTTCCAATATGTGAGGTTCTTGTGGTCACTGAGAATTGTCACTGGGTATGGGCTGCCGATGAGGTAGTGCCTCCACTCATCTAGTGCGCGGATGACCGCATATAACTCCCTGTCGTAGATGTCGTAGTTTCTCTCTGCTGCATTGAAGCTTTGAGAGAGGTATCCGCAAGGATGCCAGTCGCCATTGTCATCGCGCTGGCGTAGTACTGCTTCAGTTGCAAACTTGGAGGCATCGGTTTCGATAGCGAAGGGTCGGTCGGGATCCGGCATGCGTAGTACCGATTCTTCTAGGAATGCCTTCTTGAGGGTCTCAAAGGCTTTCTGTTGGTCAGATCCCCAGGTCCAGGTGACGTCCTTCCGGGTGAGAGCAACCAGCGGTTGCGCTTTGTCCGAGAAGCCTTTGATAAACCGGCGGTAAAAGTTTCCAAATCCAACAAAGGCGCGTACTTGCCTGAGGTTGGACAGCACCGGCCAATCTGCAATGCCAGCTAGTTTGACGGGGTCCATTGTGATTTCTCCTGGGCGGATGATCATGCCGAGGAATTCGACTTCAGTGACGTCGAAGGCACATTTCTCCGGTTTGAGGTAGAGGTCATGTTGTCGAAGTCGTTCGATAACACGTCGTGTTCGTTTTTCATGTTCTGCCTTGTCCTGGGAAAAGATCAGGATGTCGTCCATGTAAATGCAGAGCCAGCCTTCTTGAAGCATGTCTGCGAATATTGTGTTCATCATCCGCTGGAACGTAGCGGGGGAATTACACAGCCCAAAGAACATCACCGTTGGTTCGTACAGCTGCGGCAGTTTGCCATCAGTTCCGGGTACAATGAACGCTGCCTTCCATTCGTCCCCTTTCTTGATTCGGACATTGTTGTATCCGGCGCGGAGGTCCATCTTCATGAACACCTTGGCGTGCTTCAACTTGTCCAGGAGGTCTGATATAAGCGGGAGCGGGTATCGATCCTTGACCATGTTCTCGTTGAGTAGCCGGTAGTCTTGACAGGGACGTAGTGAACTGTCCTTTTTACCAACAAAGAAGAATGGACTCGCCAACGGGGATTTCGAAGGGCGAATGTACCCTTTACTCAGGTTCTCCTCGAGGAACTTGTCGAGTTCCTTTCGTTGCTGCGGGTTGAGCGGATAGACCTGTTGCTTCATGTCTGCGAAGCCCTCCTTGAGGTTGATTTCATGGTCATATTCGGTGTGGTCTGGAAGTCGCGCAGCAGTGGTTTTGTCGAAGACGGGGAGGAGATCGTGTAGGTAGGATGGTACCATCTGTGGTAGCGTTTTTTCTGTCTTGCCTTGGGCGTTCGAGGCTGCAAGTTCGGTGGAAGTGGTGACGCGCCTAATGTCGTGGTGGATCTTCCAGATCATGCCATTGTGAAGTCGTTTGTAGCCAGATGAAAGTTCAGGGAGTCG